CCTCTTTCCTGAGTGCCAGACTGTCATGCTACCTGCTTATGTAATACCTGCATTTGGCTATCCAGTACAAATCTCAAAGTTAATGTGTCCAAGTGAACTCCTGATTTTCCCCCTGAAACCTGTAATTTTCCTGTAGTTTTTCTATCCTTCTGATTGTTCATTACAAAAGCCTGGGCTCTGCCTTTAAATTTATCAAGGATCATTTGGGAGACCGAGACAGGAGGATCGCTTGAACCGAAGAGTTTGAGGTTGCTGTGAGCTAAACTGATGCCCTGGTACTCTAGCTCAGGTGATAAAAAAGAAGTCTCTGTCTCAAAAAACAAAACAAAACAAAAGCCTTTCATTAACTCCCCTTCTCACTGAATAAAAGCCACAGTCTGTGACGATGCTGCATGCCCTGCCATTGCCTCTGCCCGTGCCCTGCTGCTCACTGTCTCTCCATGTCAGTCGTCTTGGCCTTAGTCTTTCTTGACTAAGGCAGACACACCCCACCCCACCCTCTATAGACCTTTTTTGCATCTACCCATTTTTCTCTGTGCCAGGAAAAACTCTTTTCCTAAATATTTGCATGACTTTCTTTCATTACATACTTGATTGAATGTCATTTTTTTTAATGAAGCTCTAACCATTTACAAATTGAAGTCTCTCCACACCCCCGGGGCTCTCTCCTTACTCTGCTCAATATATTGGATATATATTATTATATCCAATAATATATATATGGATATATATCATTTCCATAATATGTATCAGTTTTTAACACATAAATGCATACAATATGGATAGCTAGATAATGTTTATTGTCTGTGCCTCTTCTACCACCCTGCCTCCCACTTAGAATGTAAATTACTGAGGACTGATCTTTGTCCTCAGTATGCCCTCAGATGCCCAGATGAGTTCCTGGTCCATGGGCATCTAATAATTGTCTCTGGAATGGCTGAGTGGTTTCATGAATGATGAAGGGGTTGAAACCCAGTTGAAGTCTGTGAAAAGAGCTGGCCTAGTAGCTAGATACATTTAACTTTTTATTTGAGATGCTATACATGTTCTTGGAACCAGTTAAATTTTTTACTTATAGATTTTAGTTGGTTTCAAGTGATCTTGTTCAGTTAAATTTGCTTGACCCAAAGTGCTTGCTGTGGTCCCTCTGGAAAACTAGCAATGCTTTCTGATACTATCCCTACGCTATATAACTTTGAGAACCAGTCCTCTACTGTTAGTAATTTGCACTAATTAAATCATACCATGTAGTAAAATATGCTTTAGTTATTCGCAACTTGTAGTTTTCATTTTTTGTGTTTGTTTTGTTTCATTTTTATTGTGGTGGTCATTTTGTTTTGTACCATGGATGCTGTGTTTTGAGATGCAGTGTAACATGGTCGATAAGAACATGGATGCCAAGCTAGACTGTCTCGCTTCCAATTTGCGCTTTGCCAGTTACCAGCTATGGGCTCTGGACAAATTACTTAAGTTCTTTGTGCCTCTGTTTTTGTCAATTCTAATGTGAAAAATATACCCAAGGGAATTTTGTATCATATGAAAGGACTCTTGATACATATATATGCCTCTTTTTTTTTTTTAAGACAGTCTCACTATGTCACCCTTGATAGAGTGCCGTGGCGTCACAGCTCATAGCAACCTCAAACTCTTAGGCTTAAGCAGTTCTCTTGCCTCAGCCTCCCAAGAGGCTGGGACTACAGGCACCCGCCACAATGCCCAGCTTTTTTTGTTGTTATCGTTGTTTATCAGACCCTGGTCAAACCTGCCAGCCCCAGTACATGTGGCTGGCGCCCTGACTACTTAGCTACAGGTACTGAGCCCCACGTATGTGCGTCTTAATGTACATGTGGCTGGCGCCCTGACTACTTAGCTACAGGTACTGACCTGTCATCATTACTGTTGCTGTTGCCCAACATCATTGTTTATCATTGCTGTATAATAGCCCATGTTTTAAAAGTGTGATATCATATTTAATCGGTGCCTTATTTCATGTGCATTTAAGTTGTTCTTAATTCTTCCCTACTACAAAAGACAGTCATGATCATGAGTATGTGTTTGCACATTTGTATAATTATATGCACAAAATAAATATGTAAATGTAAGCTTTCTGAGTCTAAACTATAAACATCGTTGTACAATATACACTCATACCAACAATATATCAGTGTATGTTTCTCACAGTTTTGCTCATGCTGGGTATTATCAATATGTTTTCTTGTTTTATTTTAGTATTTTGTAACTGGTAAGTTAGTTTTTTCTTCTGCTCTCATACCATACTCACATTTTCATTCTATCTGAAATGTATTTTTTTTTTTGTATAGTGTGAGGTAGTGATTTAATTTTTTCGAGAATTAATTCTGTTATGTAACATTTCTCCAGTGATTTGAAATGCTCCTCTGTCATGTAGAGAGACTCCTGGGTGTACCTTGGACTCTTTCTGGGCTCTTCTTTTGGCCATCTGTTCCCATCTAGGTACCACCTGACTATAACATCTTAGTTAATGAGCGAGTGGGTTTATACCTTTTGATGATACTAACAGATAACTCAAATATACTCACTTTGTTCCTTTTTTAGAACAATTATTATTATGGATACATTTTAGAATAATTTTATTGGGTTTTAAAATATATCCATGGGAATATTGTTCCAAGCAGTACTAAAAATGTAGAAAAATTTAGGAAGAATTGTATCATTACAGTATTATTAAAACTTAAAATGTTGGTTCATTATTCAGGGCTTTCATTTTTTTACAGACATCTTAAACTTATATTATGAAATGTATTGCCATGTATTTTGTAGTTTTTGTTACCATTTTGAATATGCTTTTTTCCCACTACATAGTTTAATATAAAATATTGATTACATGTATATGGATGTATCATACATGCACAAATATTTATCTTATATTTACTGACCTTTTTTCATTCTCTAATGCATTTACAGTTCTTAGATTTTCTAACTTTACAGTGCTATCATGTGCAAATAATAAATTTTATCCTCTTTTCTACTGCTTATGACCACTTGCTTCTTTTTCTTAATTTATTATAGCAACAAAACTTTTAAGAATGATGTTGAATAGTGGGTGATAGGCGTCATTGATTCTTTGTATGAAAAGCCTCTCAGTTAATGACTTTATTGAGTGGGTTAAATTATTATTCTAATCACCCTTACCTCAAATCCTGGCTTACATTAAGCCAAAGAGTACTTGAGAAAGTATAATATCTTCTTCTACTCTGGAAATAATAAGAACATAATCTTTCCCTAAGGATAAGAGGAGTGATAACTCTGAATCCTTAGAAATTGACATCTGCATGAAAGATCGACTTCCTCCAATCAAATGCCACATTAAAAGTTATGATTTCAAAACTCCATGAAATAATGCCCCTTTTTGGCATTCTAAAGATAAATAATATCTTGGGCTAAGCTTGACCTTCTTCAATACTCAATTATTTGGAACTCAAAATGGATAAAAGATGTGGCTGCCTATAGCTGGGGAAGCTGACCCTCAGTGTGCTGCTAATCCAGTCCAACCCTGCCAGCATCACCTCCCAGCCTCCTTTCCCCTCCTCACAGGCAGCTCTGTGATTCCTTAGACGCTGAAAATGCTGGTCTTATCTACTCAAATAGGTCAAAAGGTTAGGTGTCGTAGATGGTGGCTGAGTTAACTATCTCATCTGGGCAATAATTGAAAGCCAGAAATGTTCAGTCTCAAACATAAGCACGAATGAAAGGTCTTGGCTTATTTTTCTCTGATCTGTTATCTGCTTTTCACTCACAGATAAAGATTACATAGATAATTATTGAGAAAGAAGAGAAATTTTATACTTTCTCATAAAACTGCAGAAAAATTTTCTGTCCGTATGTAGTTTCTATATTTTGCGGTTGAAAACTTGGGAGGGGGGGTGGATTTAAATTTTGGATGAAATAACCAGTTTAATTTTTTAGTCGCCATAGTCTACTTAGGCTCAAATCTCTTTTTCCTAACTTAGTAATATTAGTATTTCTCTTAAACTTTCTATTATGAAAAATGTCAAATATAAGTTAGTTGTCTTGCAGAATGGTCCATATTCTGGATTTGTCTGATTGTTTCTTCATGGTTAATACCAGGACTTTTAATCATTACAGGTTTAATGATTTAAACCCGTTAGCTGAGAATAATTTGTATACCTCTATAATGTCCCCACTTGATAATTGCTAATAATGATCCAGGTCCTATTCATGCTATGACTGATTGTGATCTTAGTGAAGAAATCCTCTAAGCTCTGAGAACAGGATTCTAATTTCAGAATATCTTTGTTTTAGCTCCATTTCTAACAAAGATTTTCTCTATGGCCTTGAATAAGTTACTCAGTCACTGTGCTATAAATAACAAGCAGAATTGCCTATCTTGTATAAAGCTCAGTGGATTTACTGACTAATGTTTATAAAGCACAGAGGACATATAAAGCATAGTCGAAGTGATAATAATTGGAGAAATGATTATAATACTTGGATTTTTAGTCCTTTTAAACAAATTTGCATTTAATGTAAGTGTCATAGCCTCTGTAGACACTTCCTGTCTCATATGTATGCTTAGATAAACCGACATTAAATACCTACTGTGTGGTAATTATTGTGCCGAGTTCTTCAGATCTTATTTAATTTTTAAATCATGACCTTTAAGATACGTGAGTTATTACAGTATTTTTATTTTGTAGACAAGGAAACCAAAAATTAGACACGTATAATAAACTTATTCTATTTTACAAACATAGTAAGTGTCAGAGGCAGGCGATGAGCCAAGATTTTTGTAAATCTTCTGAGCTAAGCTCTATCATCAGAACCCTTCAAGAATACTTTTGAATGTCACATACCTTGAAGAAAATATCAAAAAAAGTTGGCAGCTATTAGTAAACAGTTTATATCATTTCTAAGCAGAAACATTTCATATGTAGAAAATGTTTGTTAAAAATTTTAATATTCCAGTTAGATTATATCTCCTGTCACTGTTTCTATTCTAGAATGTTGGCAAAAGATGAACTGATGACCATACTTCAGAATTGTATCAACATTTTTAAGTCTTCTGAAAAGTACCTTGGCAGTACAGCAAAGAGAATAGAAGAGTTCCTGGCCCAGTTTCAGAGCCTCGATGGTAAGAGAGAATATCCTGCTAATTTTCCTGGCCATGACAGTCATTTAGCTGAAAGGACATGGAAAACCCCACCTTCTGATGCAGTGAGTGATGAGGAGATAAAGTAGTTCACGATTAGTCATTATGCCAAGCCTCAGAGTAGCACATCTTAAATTAACAAGGTTAAATATTTCTCTTCTATATTTGGTTTAAACAATTAAGTGCATCAAATGAGGAGAAGAAAATTCTTTCTCCAGATGGACAATTTGTAGGATTTATCTAAAAAAAACAAAGAGACATGAAAAGAAAAGAAAAAAGGATTGGAAAAATTAGCAGGACATCATAATTAAGTACTCCTTTTAGAAGTTTTTTTCTTAAGCATTTTGTCAGGTTTCTTATAGATTTCAAAAATACCACATAAATCATTTGTAGACCTGAAAAATTAATAGTTACAAACTGCTTTTCACAGCAACGAAGCTCGTTGGCATGCTGACTGACAAAATATGCATGAGGCTTATTTTATTTTTTATTTATTTATTTTTTTTGAGACAGAGTTTCACTGTGTCGCCCTGATAGAGTGCCGTAGCATCACAGCTAACAGCAATCTCAAACTCCTGTTCTCAAATGATTCTTATCTTGCCTCAGCCTCCCAAGTAACTGGGATGACAGGCGCCCACCACAATGCCTGGCTATTTTTTGTTATTGTAGTTGTCGTTGTTTAGCAGGCCCGCATCAGGTTCGAACCCGCCAGTCTTGGTGTATGTGGCTGGTGCTGTAACCACCGTGCTACAGGTTACAAGCCTCGAGCCACATGAGGCTTATTTTATTGGATTTACAAAATGTTGACTCTTTCAGTTCTGAATTAATTGCAGCAGCCTGGCACTCCCCAGTGTTGGAAGCTTACAGTTCCTTTCATTTTGTATGACCTCCACATGATTGTTATATGTCCTGAATGCTTGGGGTGCCTGGTTTTTGTAGGGAGCCATGCTCTGTTTAGGACTTCTGGGTTCTAATGGGGTATCACAGATTGACACTGAGAAGTTTTTCATGGGCTCTTGCTCAAACAAAAACCAAATATTGGTGTACACCTTTTACTTTCCTTGATTTAGGAACAAATTTTAATGGAGTTTGAGGAAAGAGGCAGCTTCATACATAATAAGTCCATAGATTTGGACGGAGCATGGTGAGAATATCTTATTTGGAATGTCCTTTCTATGTTTGCTGAGTGTTTCTTTGTCTTAAAAATCCTTTGGATTTAGGAAACCACTTTTTCAGAAATTCCCCTACTGTGGCTTCGTAGCTGTAATGCAGAGTGCCTGATAGGTGCTCAGTCATGGAAGAAAAAAGAAAAAAAATTGCCTGACAGGAATGGCATAAGCAGTCAGAACCAGGAGGCTTTCCACGGGCAGTAAGGGACTTCCTTCCAGGTTATGTGTGGGTGTGGATCTTCTGTCACCATAGCATTTTCTGAACCACTTTTTAAAACATAAAACCTTTAAAGTACTGTACGTTGCTATTATTGGGGTCGTGTAGTCTAGTGACACCCAGGAACTGAAGTCCAGGAAGAGAAAGTAACTTGATTGAGATTACAGAGCTAGCTAGTGGTAGGACCCAGACCAGACTCCAGCTACCAGCTCTCATTGGTTTATTTCTCATTGATTTCCCACAATTTAAATGCCCCTAATTGTAGTCACTGTACCAGTGAGGGGCCAACCTCAAGTACATAAATAGATAAGAAGCTTAAAAGAATATAAGATAAATAAATTTCAGTCTTTTATAAAATTGGGCTCATGAGGATTTCTATAAAAAGAAATTATAGATATAAAATTTTAATTAGAGTTCATGTAATATCCATTAAGCAAATTCTGTGACATGCTAATAGTAAATAAAGGAATGCAGCTTTTTAGAATGGGAAGATTGGAGATTAAGATGATTAACAGTCCAAAGAATAAAAGTAGGGCCCAGTGTTATATCAGATTTGTTTGGTTTTTTTTTTTGAGACAGGAGCCTCTAGCTGTCCTCCTGGGTAGAGTGCCATGGCATCACGCTCACAACAACCTCCAACTGCTAGGCTCAAGCGAGTCTCCTGCCTCAGCCTCCCAAGTAGCTGGGACCACAGGCGCCCATCACAACACCTGGCTATTTTTTGGTTGCAGCCATCATTGTTGTTTGTTGTTTGGCGGCCCGGGCTGGATTTGAACCCGCCACCTTGGATGTACATGGCTGGTGCCTTAGCCACTTGAGCCACAGGCACCGAGCCATCAGATTTGTTTTTAAGACTCTGCTGCATGTTAACGAAATGGGACAAAGAATTTGGTCTATTATTTTAATCTTAAATTACATCTTTCTTGAAATAGGAATTATCCATAGCTAAAAAGAAGTAAGATTTTTCAGAGCAGTGCTTATTCTTAGACTGCATCCTCCTGTCACAGATTTGGGTCACACAAACCTGGTGCGGGTCAGGTCTCTAACACTCACCCAGCACTTGGAAGGGGTGAGTGTGGGCTCCCTGGAAGCATATCCGCACATCCTGTTGCTAAGGCTTCCTGTCTCCTTTGCTTCGTATCTAAGAGGGTCATTCACAATGCTTACACACTGCCCCTTTATACTCCAGTTATGTTGTGTCAGAAATAGTGCGTCAAAAGATAAGGACCAGGTTTATAGATAGTGTTGTTTAGTCTTGGCATAATTAAAGGAAAATAATTTAAATTTTATAATTTTTTTGAAAAACATTTTATAAGAGCACAAATATTCAAGGCTTTTTTAAAAATAATTTTTATTTTTCTTGAATTTTGTACTTGTTTTAATTTGAAGTTTTTTTATATTTTATTTTATTTTTTGAGACAAAGTCTTACTATGTTGCCTGGCAGAGTGCTGTGGCATCACAGCTCACAGCAACCTCAAACTCTTGGGTTTAAGCAATTCTTTTGCCTCAGCCTCTCAAATAGCTGGGACTACAGATACCCACTGCAACGCCCAGCTTTTTTTTTTTTTTTTTTAAGATGACAAGGTCTCTCTCTGGCTCAGGCTGGTCTTGAACTCATGAGCTCAGGCAGTCCACCTGCCTTGGCCTCCCAGAGTGCTAGGTTTATAGGCATGTGCCACTGTGCCTGGCCTACCAGAGGCTTTTTGATTTTGGTTTGAGGAGTTTGGTTGGTTGTTTTGTTTTCATTGTGGTAACATTTTTAAAATTCAGTAGCTGAGTTTTTGAAGACCTCCCTACAGCATAAATTATGTAATGTTTATTGAGCTTCAGAGTCTGAAAGAAATCCTTTTATCTGATGGAACCTTAATTCCTTGCCACATTTAAAAAAAAAAATAGGTCAAACTTCACTTCCTTTAAATTAGTAGGAATGTTGTTCTCTTGACGAGAGTTACCTCAATTGCTGTATATCGGTTTTGTTTTAAAAGCAGATGCCAGAGAGGAAGAAGATGCTTCAGGATCAGAGCCGAGGGGGCTTCAAAAGACAGACCTCTATCATCTTCAGAAGGTCAGGTCATTTATCTTTCTAGCTACATCCTGTGATGCTCGGTCTGTTTAGTTTGTGCACTAGATTAGCTCTGTCTGGATGTTTTTATTTTCCTTTATAAAATAGAACCAGGAACAAAGCAGACTTTGTAACTCACTCATAAATGGAACATCTGTTCCTCTCATGCGGTCTTCATTCTGCATGTGTGCAGTCTGGAGTCCACTGGCCAACACAGGTGGGAACTGTTCTGTTGTCCGAGAGAAAAACATAATGTACAAGTAAGTCAGGGAAAATGGGAACGTGGTTGCAAAAAGAATCTTATTATCTGATACATTTATTTTTCTGTTTGATCAAACTGAGTGATTCAGAAGAGCCTAACTCACTCTAGTTGCTTTTCCTGATTTTTAATGCATATTCACAGTATAGAGCAGAAATTGAGCCACACCATATCCATTGTATTCTTTACTATCTTTGTGCTGTGATGCCAAGCTGTGATGAATGTAGAGTAAAATTTCAACCTAAGTGAAACACAACTTAGGGACTATTGTATTAGCATGGCAAAAGGCAAGGATTTTGGCGGCACCTGTGGCTCAAAGGAGTAGGGTGCTGGCCCCATGTGCCAGAGGTGGTGGGTTCAAACCCAGCCCCAGCCAAAAACTGCAAAAAAAAAAAAAAAAAGGCAAGGATTTCCCCCCCCTTTTTCTGTAAGTCCTTTTCTTAAATGAACTAGTAGATGTGAACAATAAACACTCTACCATATAACTTAATAAGGAAGTGAACTGCCCTTTTCCTCCTTCCCTGAAAATTTACTTAATATGTATTATAAAGAGGAGCGATCCTTTCCAGAGTTTAAAAAAAAAAAAAGCTAGTCATGGTGGCCTTGGAATCCTGTCCAAGGCAGGAAGATCTCTTGGAGAGGATTTTGAGACCAGCCTAGGCAACATACGGAGACCCCCATCTCTACAAAAAATTTTTTTAAAGTAGCTGGGTGTGATGGCATGTACCTATAATCTCAGCTACTTGGGAGGCTGAGGCAGGAAGATGGTTTGAGCTCAGGAATTCAAGGCTGCAGTGAGCTATGATTGCATCACTGCATAGCAGCCTGGGGCAACAGAGTGAGACCCTGTCTCTATTAAAAAAATAATAATAATAATAAATAAAAAGTATAATCTTGTTCTTGTTCTTTACCTATATGTCCTATCTAATGGAAAGCACAACAGCTGCTCAAGCTGAGCAAAAGGGCTCCTTCTGAAGGGCTATCTGTCTCCAGAATCACCAGAAAAAGTTTATTCTTTTATCATAGTCTTTATTAGAAATGAAGGAGTTAAGAACAAGAAGTAAGAAGCAATCCAAGTTTGAAATACTCAGAGAAAAAGTTGTGAACTTCATTGACTGTCTAGTGAGGTGAGTCTAAAAAATCATGCTATTTTTCCAAATAATAGTGGTATAATAGACATCCATCACCAATCCCGGACATTTTCTCCTAGTTGAGAGTTTATGCTTTTCAGGTTTCTCCATCCAACCTATAATTGTCATCTGTATTTTCCATTTTTATTAATGTGTCTTAACTGAGTGACTTAGTTTATTCTTTTACTTATGAGTTCAAGAGCACAGGCTTAAATTTGATTTAGTTCATTGGGCCAGGTAGGGAGAGATAAGGAGATAGAATGTGTTTTTCCTCTTTCTAATAACAAAGTATTTATATTATACTGTCTTTCCTAGTAGTAAATGTCAGAAAACAGAGAAGACTAGCCCTGCTGCTCTATTTTGTCCAAAATAAATAACTTCCAGTGCTGAAAAATACCTACCAGTGCAACTTTTATCAGTGCTAAATTCATGCCGAGGGCCAAGCGTGGGGCTCATACCTGTAATCCCAGCCCTCTGGGAGACTGAGGCAGGAGGATCCCTTGAGCTTAGGAGTTGGAGACCAGCCTGAGCAAGAATGAAATCCCATGTCAACTAAAAATAGAAGAACTACCCAGATGTGATGGCAGGTACTTCTAGTTTCAGCTGCTTGAGAGGCTGAGCCCAGGAGTTTGAGGTTGCTGGGAACGATGATGCCATGGAACTGAACCCAGTGTGACAGAGTGAGACTCTCTAAAAAAATAAACAAATAAAAAATCAGTTCATGCTGAGACATATATACTGTGTGAATTTAGAAGTCTCCTAGTGCAACTTGTATTTTAAGATGATTCTTTTTTGGAAATCCAACCATTGTTATTCATAGATTTCCCAAAAGCCAGTTTTATGCAGTTGTGTCACAGCACCCACATAAGCTACTTTTTGGGAAGTTAGGACATGCTACAGAGAAGAATGAGAAGTGTATGAAAGAAGACAATTTAATAATTAAAAAGTAGAAAAAACCTACTATTGTTTATTCTATTTTTTTTTTTTTTTTTTTGAGACAGAGCCTCAAGCTGTCTCCCTGGGTGGAGTGCCGTGGCATCACAGCTCACAGCAACCTCCAACTTCTGGGCTCAAGCGAGTCTCCTGCCTCAGCCTCCCAAGTAGCTGGGACCACAGGCGCCCACCACAACGCCCGGCTATTTTTTCTTTTGGTTGCAGCCATCGTTGTTTGGCGTGCCCGGTCTGAATTTGAACCCACTACCTTAGGTGTATTTGGCTGGCGCCTTAGCCACTTGAGCCACAGGCACTGAGCCTGTTTATTCTATTTTTAATGGCAATTCAAACCCAACAGCAGGCTATGCACTGAATAAAGTACTAAAAAAACAGCAACCCAGTTACTAAAGACAAAGAGTGCTTTTCTGACATATTACATATTCTTCCTGGAAGTGAAAAGCTGTTCCCAAGAGCCATGTGGGGGCAGAGTTACTGTTCCTAGTCACTGGGGGGGAAATTGCTAATATCATGAAAAAGGTCCAAAATAATCAACCAAAAAGGTCACAGAGAGAGCAGTGTGTCATAACCAAGTGCCGCACCAAAGCTTTGAGCTGACCTCCTGCTCAGATACTCTGTTTGGGAACTCAGTGTTCTCCTTGCCCCTGTCAGGCTGTCCTGTTCCCATGGGGCCTGGCCCCAAGCTGCTGACCATCCCTTCCCTCCATGCAGAGAACACTGTAGTCACGGAGAATAATTTGACAATGTGATTTGGTTCCTGAGGTCCTGCACATCCCAGATTGTAGGTTCTGAAACTATACCAGCCATTCCCATTTCATGGTCTTTGATTTAATACGTCTGCCTTTTTACCTTTCTGAGTGGGGGCTGAAAATGCTAAACACAAATGAAGTGTGCTGTGTGGCAAAATCACAAAATCTTACTGGGATCTACTGTCTTCATCAAGATTGTTTACCCCAGGAGGGAAGAGAATAAGATTGTAGCATGTCAGAGCTGAAAGGAACCTGAGGAGTCAGTCTGTGGCCCTTAGAGCCCAGAGAGAGACTGTGACTCACACGGGCTACTAAGTCGCAGTCTTCCCCCATCTCTTAGAAGGTGCTCCCCCTTTCCACACAGCCCTTCTGAAGACCACAATACAGATGGAAGAGCTTGGCATTCTGGAGAAAAGATGTCCTTGAAAGATAAACTTAAGCAGTAGACTTTAGAAGACAGGGTTCATAGTATACCATGAGTAATTTAATTCTTGGCAAAGTTAAGAAAAGGCAAGAGTAAGTCACCAAATCTTGGGAGCTGAGAATAAATCGGCACTTTATAAGTTACGGTTTTCATCAAAATCAAGCTTCATCTTTGTAGCCCTTATTGACACTATTTCTACCTGTTCCCTCAGAACCACCTAAGAGGGGGAAGACTTATTTATGAACTCTGAACTGAATCCAAAATGAGCATCATGCGGTGCTCTGGTTTCTTCTCACTGCACATACACTGTAGAAGTATATTTCTATGTTTATGTCCAAGTCTGCAGCCAGATAAAAATTCTCATGTATGATTTTGTTTTGTCACTGTTGCTGTTCAACTATTGTAGCCTAGTAGAAGCAAAAGCAAATATTTTATTTTGCCTCTGATGGGATTTCTTTGAGGATATCCAAAAGGCCTTTTGCCTTGGAAATTGAGTAGATTTATGAACATTAAATGTAAAAATGTTAAAATAGGAGAGAAGTACAAATATGAGGCAATGTTGAGTTTCTAAAAATGACTATTTGGTTGCCTTGATAGATTTCCAGTGTTAATTACATAGCAGGGACTTCAATAAGATCTTTTAATGACAGCCATGTATAATAAATAATTTGAGAGTAATAGCATGAGGCTACTTTAGGAAGAGTTTATGGTCAGAAATTACAAATTGGTAGCCAGATATTCAGAGGGGCACTCAACATCACAGAAACCATTTCCTGCAGCTACAGCTAAGTTAAGTCAATCTTAAGTAATTGATTTATTTATTTACGTCAGCTTTTTTACCTTTCTGTTGTTAGCAGTGCTTGTCCTTAGTGAGAGTTAAATCAGAGTCATACCCTCTTGGCAGATAGGTTTTTTTGGTTTTTTTTTTTTTGAGACGGAGCCTCAAGCTGTCCCCCTGGGTAGAGTGCCGTGGCATCACGCTCACAGCAACCTTCAACTCCTGGGCACAAGCGAGTCTCCTGCCTCAGCCTCCCAAGTAGCTGGGACTACAGGCGCCTGCCACAACGCCTGGCCATTTTTTGGTTGCAGCCATCATTGTTGTTTGGCAGGCCCGGGCTGGGGATTCGAACCCGCCACCTTAGGTGTACGTGGCTGGCGCCTTAGCCGCTTGAGCCACAGGCGCCGAGCTGGCAGATAGGTTTTATTCCAGGTGACTCTGGGGATGGGAAGAGTATCTGGAAGTGTTGTGAGCAGGGGCCCAGCACCCCTCTCACAGGGAGGAGGATGGTGAAGATTGATGGACATGTTGACTTCCCTTTTTTTTCTCTCCTTTCCTTAATGTCACTGACCATACCAGGGCAGAGCTGCTGTTGTAGAGGGATTTTTAAAGGCAGTACTATCCTCTCCAGAAAGGGGAGAGAAAAATCAGCATATCTAGAAGAGAAGGCTGATGTCTCTTCCACTGACTGGGCTGAGGCAGCTGCTGTACTCTGCCGGTACTCTGGGAAAAGAAGCTGACATAGTCTGTCACAGGCCAAAATAGTTTACCTAGGGGGTGGACTGAGTCCCAGAAGTCTTCTTTATGGAGGCTCTGTGAGCCTTCTTTATGTGAGTTAGCTAACAACTGGTCACTTACCATGCTGTTTTGGGTCTGTGTTTGTCCAGTGTGCTGTCCTCTAGGCCTCCCAAGAACTGCGGCAGTGTCAGGTCACAGATCAGCTGATGAGTTCATTAAATATTCATAGTGAACTTTTTGTGCCTTAGTTTTTAAGTTCAGGCTTTTAAAAAATTGTTTTGTCATCTAGCTTATAGGTAGAAAAAAAAGAGAAGAATCCAAAGTTATGGTGAATTGTTTTTTATAATTAAAATTTTATGGATAATTTATTTTTCAATACTCTGAATAAAGTTAGCATTTTCTGCTTTCTGAAGTAAAGTCATTCTAATCATAAAAAACTTTTGAGGTATCATTTCCATGAAAGATATTAACTAAAACATTTTCTATGATCCAAAAGGAATTTCCTGAAGCCTGTGTTTAACACTGCCAAGAGTTCAGTGTTTACTATAGTAGAAAATGTGCATATCTGATTTCTATTAATTTTATTATTTTTTTTTTTGGAGACAAGAGCCTCAAGCTGTCCCCCTGGGTAGAGTGCCATGGCATCTCAGCTCACAGCAACCTCCAACTCCTGGGTTCAAGCGAGTCTCCTGCCTCAGCCTCCCAAGTAGCTGGGACCACAGGCACCTGCCACAACGCCTGGCTATTTTTTGGTTGCAGCCATCATTGTTGTTTGGCGGGCCCGGGCTGGATTCACACCTGCCACCTTGGGTGTATGTGGCTGGCGCCTTAGCCACTTGAGTCACATGCGCCGAGCCCATATCTGATTTCTTTTTTTTTTTTTGAGACAGAGCCTCAAGCTGTCCTCCTGGGTAGAGTGCCGTGGCATTACAGCTCACAGCAACCTCCAACTCCTGGGCTCAAGTGAATCTCCTGCCTCCGCCTCCCAAGTAGCTGGGACCACAGGCGCCTGCCACAACGCCCGGCTGTTTTTCGGTTGCAGCCGTCATTGTTGTTTTTGGCGGGTCTGGGCTGGGGATTCGAACCCACCACCTTAGGTGTACGTGGCTGGCACCTTAGCTGGTTGAGCTATAGGCACCGAGCCCCATATCTGATTTCTAAATAAATTACTTTAAGAAATCCATCAGTGCTTTCAGAAATTCTGTGTTAAAGATTTTTGAGAAGTGTAAATTAGGTATATTTGTTCATAAACTCAGAACTGAAATACATAGTTTCTTATAAAGAGTCTAGAGGAAGTTTTAAAAACATTATATAGATGAAGTGTAGTTGAGTGAAACTGTACATTGGGTATTTAGGTTTGTTTCCTTTGTATAATTTTGATTATTGTTGATTTTGGTTTTTAAATAAATTGTTTAGTCCTCTATAGAGGATTGACAGAATGTCAAATTGAAAGTCAGTGTGTGCTTATCTGAACGCTGATGGCTGACTCTGGCTGTTTCAGAGAGTACCTTCCACCTCCAGAGACGCAGCCGCTCCACGAGGCCTTGTACTTCAGTGCTGCCCAAACCCTCCGTGAGCACCTGAATGCCGCTCCACGCATCGCCCTCCATACTGCACTCAACAACCCTTACTATTACCTAAAGGTGAGACGTGATTCCATTGTCCTGCAGTTTAGCTCAGGTGCCAGGCTTCATGTCAGGAAAAGATTGTAAATTTGTATTTCTATTTTAATGGGTAGAGAGTTGGCAGCTCAAGGTTACACCCCTCATGTATTTTTAAAAATTCTTTAGAGTTCAGAGGGTATTTCTAATCCAGTAAAGATACTGCTCAGTGGCCAAATGATGCTGATAACTTTTGACCATGGTAAACTGCCCTTTGTGTGATAACACTAGTCATCAGCAATGAGACTTGGGAGTATAAGGAAGTGTTTCCTACAAACATAGCAGCAGATGTAGGTCTAACAATATGACCCAATGAAATTACTTGAAGATCCAAGTGGTTCTTTCTAGTGGACAAAAGAAATACTTTCAAATTTCACCTTGGATTTTAAACCAAAGAAAGATCTACTCTGAGAGAACCTACAGAGCAGGGTGCAGAGCACAGCCAGCACTCCACTTCTCAACACCACAGCAGGGCAGACATTACCAGTTCCTAGAGCATCTTTACACAAGAGAGTGCGAGACAGTTCACAATTTTAAAAGACAGCTTTCTTACCACTGGGAAAAAACTATATATATGTGAAAGAGTTGTAAGTTGTCGACTTAGGTAAGCACCTAGAAATCTTGACACAAAAGATACTTAAGAAGTGACTCCATAAAACCTATGACAAGCATCCCAACATCCTAGTTTCCTGTTGCAAAATGGCATACAAATATTTTAAGTATTGCCAGAGAATACATTGAAAAGGAACATAAAAATCAGTGTTTTCTAATGATGGTGGTAATAGGGAGCTTGAATAATCTCATATTAAAAGAAAAAAATCTAGGCCAGGTGCTATGGCTCACACCTGTAATCTTAACACTCTGGGAGGCCAAGGAGGATGGATTGCTTGCGCTCACAGGTTCAAGACCAGCCTGAGCCACAGTGAGACCTTGTCTCTAAAAATAGTCTACTGAAGAAGCCCAAGTGCCCATCAACCCACGAATGGATCAATAAATTGTGGTTTATGTACACCATGGAATATTATGCAGCCTTAAAGAAAGATGGAGACTTTACCTCTTTCATGTTTACATGGATGGAGCTGGAACATATTCTTCTTAACAAAGTATCTCAAGAATGGAAGAAAAAGTATCCAATGTACTCAGTCCTACTATGAAACTAATTTATAGCTTTCATATGAAAGCTATGACCCAATTATAGCCCAAGAATATGGAGAAAGGGGAGGGGAGGGGAAGGATGGGTAGAGGGAGGGTAATTGGTGGGATCCCACCTATGATGCATCTTACAAGGGTACATGTGAAACTTACTGAATGTAGAATATAAATGTCTTAACACAATAACTAAGAAAATGACATGAAGGCTAATGTTAACCAGTTTGATGAAAATATTTCAAATTGTGTATAAAACCAGCACATTGCTGCATTAATGTACACAGTGATGATTTAATTAAAAAAAAAAAGGAACATCAAAAAATGAAAATAAAAATAGTCTATTATGGCAGGCGCCTATAGTTCCAGGTACTTGTGAGGCTGAGACAAGAGGATTGCTTAAGCCCAGGAATTTGAAGTTGCTGTGACTCTGACACCACAGCACCACCCAGGGACAAAAAATGAGACTGAGTCTCAAATTTAAAAAAGAGAGAGAAAAAAATCAGTTTTTAATATATAAGTCAAAGATTAAAAATCTGGTTTCAGCAGTCTTTGGAAAGGACATAATATCCAGGGTGGAGTGTATATGTGAGATTTTTGATTTCAAATAAGTTGAAAAAACATTGATGGTTTCTATTTCTGTAGGGCTTAAGATCTATAGTGTTGACAACATAGTCTTGTCTTTGAAATTCAGATTACATCCCCCTAGTAGTGGTATGATGGTATTAACTAATGTAGTATAGTAACATTAGAATTCAGCTGATTGGCTCGGCGCCTGTGGCTCAAGTGGCTAAGGCGCCAGCCACATACACCTAAGGTGACGGGTTCGAATCCAGCCCAGACCCACAAAAACAACAATGACAACTGCAACCAAAAAATAGCCGGGCATTGTGGTGGGTGTCTGTGGTCCCAGCTACTTGGGAGGCTGAGGCAGGAGACTCGCTTGAGCCCAGGAGTTGGAGGTTTCTGTGAGCTGCGATGCCACAGCACTCTACCCAGGGGGACAGCTTGAGGCTCTGTCTCCAAAAAAAAAAAAAGAATTCATTTGATTACAAATGTTAGAAGTACCAGTTTCTTGAATATTCCAAAGAATTCCATGAGCTTTTTAAGGAGAATAAAATCCATTAGAGTCTCAGGATTAACAAATTATGATTAAAGTGAAAAATCAGCTTGTTTTCTGAAGCTGGGACTATTTTTCTAGTAAGCAACTAGAGAGGTTCTGACGTACCCAAACCTAAATAAGAACTAAGGATTGAAGAGTAGACTCACACTGATAAAGAAGGCCAGAAGGTTTCATGTACAGGTTTACTACTGAGTTTAGGTTAGGAGATTAGTCAGTGTCTGATTTTGTTTCTGATCATTTCTAAAAAGTAGTCATTTTAGTTTACCGTTGTTTTTTAGAATGAAGCACTGAAAAGCGAAGAAGGCTGCATTCCAAATACCGCCCCAGACATCTGCATCGCCTATAAGCTACACTTGGAGTGTGGCAGGCTGATCAACCTTGTGGACTGGTCAGAGGTAGGATAGGGGAAAAGAGCAAGCTGTGTGTTTGTTTAACTGTTCACAACAACTTTCCAGGAATTATTTTTATACTTCTAGTGCTTTGAACCTCATCTTTTTCAATGCCTTGTCTTTTGTTTGGAAAGCACAAATTGCCTCAAACTTCCAAAGTTCCCTAGGAAATAGTAACTCAGTGATCCCGGCTCCCAATCCCCTGCTCACTAAGCATGCATTCCCTAGTCAAGCCAACTGTGTGTTCACACCAGGTCAAAATAAATAAATAAATGCTAACCTAATAGTCAGCATTAAGCGAAAACTAAACAGTTCAGGTCAGTTCTTTTTTTTTTTGGAGACAGAGCCTCAAGCTATCCCCCTGGGTAGAGTGCTGTGGCACCACAGTTCACAGCAACCTCCAACTCCTGGGCTCAAGCGAGTCTCCTGCCTCAGCCTTTCAAGTAGCTGGGACCACAGGCGCCTGCCACAATGCCTGGCTATTTTTTTTGGTTGCAGCCATCGTTGTTTGGCGGGCCCCGGCTGGATTTGAACCCACCACCTTAGGTGTATGTGGCTGGCGCCTTAGCCGCTTGAGCCACAGGCGCTGAGCCCAGTTCTTTTATTCCACAAAACAAAATATATTATTCACTAGCATTTCCCTTCTTGCATAAAAGGAAAAAAATACAGATTTAGCAAGTCCAGAAGTACAAGGCATACTTGGCAAAGCGGTGGGTAACTGTTATTCTTTAAAATAAATAAATATTTTTTCCTTCCTCAGAATAGAATCGCAAAGATCTTAACTCTTTTGAAGCCTCTACAGATGTCTCGTGGCCATTAAAACATATGCATGGTTTGCTCCTTCCAAAAAAAATAGGCATTTTCCTGGGGTAAAAGTCAGGAGTAGAGGTTATCAGGCTTTCTTTACATTTTAACTTTGGGTTTTTTTCTTCCTTTTCTCTGCATACTTCTTAGTTCTCTGAAACAAGATTATTCTTTAATGTGTAATTGGTTAAGTGATCATCAGTGTAGTTTTAAGAATCTGGAAATAAATGCCAGTTACCAGCAGTAGCAGACCTGGTTTAATTACAGAACCATCAAAGGAAGTACAGTAAGACTGTTTGGCAGCTGTAAAGATTTTTCTTTTCTTCTGTCTTGTCTATTCAAAAGGCTTTCGCAACAGTTGTGACAGCTGCTGAAAAAATGGATGCAAATTCTACAATCTCAGAAGAAATGAATGAAATTATCCAGTATCCTTTTAAAATCATTTCTGTAGTATCTAAGAACACATAGAATATAAGTTTAATTTTTCCAGATCTACATTAGAGATTTATAAAGATGTGTTCCAACAACTTTATTTCTTGTTAAAACTGTACCGTGTCAGAATAACTAAAATTTCTAAATCTTTATTTTGAATTTCTAAAATGAGATAAAGCCTAAAATTTCTGGTGTCCAATTTATATCAATATCATTATTTAAAATTTACCAAAAATGAAAGTATCATTATTGAATTCTCTGTTTTTCTAATATACTTTTAGAAGTGGGGGCAGAGAGTGATTCTTATACTACAGGAAGAATGAGATTTAGGTAAGCATTAAGTACTTCCCATTGAAGTCTTACTACATGGATTCTGATTACATGTAACGTTGCTATTAAGGGTTATCATTTAATTTAGGTGCATATATTTGAACTGTCTCCTTCCCCAAGTAGTATTTGACATTGAGATTTTAACCTCTTTTTCTCAAAAATACAGCATGGCCAAGCCAATTTCCTTAGCTATTGCCTCCAGTGCTCGGTTTATTAGAGCTGTTTCTGAACTAGAGCTTCTAGGATTTATAAAACCTACCAAACGGAAGACTGACCACGTGGCCAGGCTAACGTGGGGAGGCTGCTGAAAAGCAGATGAGGAAGCCAGAGCTGTCTCACTCACCTCAGAAGGGGGGGAGCGGTCACATCTATCTATACACCACTAGAGGAGGCTATTTCTGTGAGGAGAGAAATGTGTAATCCCCATGTGAGACTCAAGAAAGTATGCTGCTCATTCCAAACAGGTGTATGTCAAAACATATTTAGAGTACCTCTCAAACATTGTTGATTTCTTTCACAAAGTTATTATTCGTAAGTCATTTTTAAACATACAGTGTACAAATATAATAAATTCCTTTACCCAGTAGTATAAATTATTTGCAGTTGGTTTAGCCATACTCATTCCTCCTCCCCAGTTTCTTGCACTGATACTCTTTTTAGTGTATTGTACAGTAACTAATGTGAATATTCTACAGGTATGTATCTCCTGGTGACTACACAGCTTCTAAAACTGCCTCTGCCTCCTGATTTCCTTTAGTCTTACAACTTTGAAAAGGTCCAAAGTTATTAAGCTTTATACTTAAAGGTAGTAAATATTCTACTTATGGATGACCCAAAATAATCTTAGAGCCAGTCAGGCCTCTCCAAGTCTCATCCCAAACTTGTAAAATTCAGATGAGGAAAGGAAGGCCAAGATGAAATGACACCTGGATCTCTTCCATGGCAAGAACTCATGACCTAATGGAACAGTTACACAAAGCTCATTATCTAATGTTCTTTTCCCAAGAGAACTTTGGGATTTATCTATATATTTAAAGCTCCTCATTAACATCCCCAAATTAGCAAATGTGGAAAAAAATCCATGTTCAAAAACAACTGTTCTGATTGGAAATCCTTGGTGGGAGAGAGAGTGTGTATATATGCATGTATACACGTGCATGTTAAGGACAATTTTAATATTAAATATTTGTCTGAATTGCTTGGGACCAGCCGTTTGGATTTTGGAATATTTGCATTATATTTAACCATTCAGCATCCCAAATCCGAATGCTCCAATAAGCATTTCGTTTGACCGTCATTGTCAGCACTTGGAATTTTGGAGCATTTCACATTTTGGATGCTCACCCAAGCCTCCTTAATTCTACGGTATAAAAAGAGGTATTATTCTCTCTCAGCCTGTGTTATAAGAAAGGGGGGGAAAAGGAGGTATTGGTATTAATATAGGTTTAGAATGAAGAGTATCTTAGATCTCTGGGAACATGGTGGGCTAAGATGAGCTGCTCCCTACCCCATTCTCCAAACATAAAAATGCTAGATGAAATACATCCTCCAAACTGATTGTCAGAGGTTGCCAAGGCTCAAATAAAAAGAAGAGGAAACCCAACCTACAAAGATCAGAGTCAGCTGTAAGTCAGAGGAGAAAGCAAGCCCTGCATAGCTTTGAGAAAGGCAGTTACCAGAGTAGCATTAGTTAAGGTGGATTAAGTATTTTACCATCTTCATCTGAAAGATGCCAGAATTTTTAAGCAGATTTTAGATACCTGTACATAGGTATACAGGACTGTCAACATGAAAGTTCAGGAATGTATTACATGCAAACAAAAACATCACCTTGGAATCCACATATAAAAGGTAGAGCCTATCATTTCATTCTAGGGGTACCTGAATGAGGGCTAGGACCATAGACTTTGCCAAATGAATTATGATCAAGAAGTTTCTCTTGTGTGAGAAATCATTCCATGACTTATCTTCACAGCAATTAGCTCAGTACTTTTTATCAATGTTCTAGTCATTCTTTGTCAACCAACCATGTTTCATTTTTTCACAATGCTTGGTAAACACATAGGGAAAGAATGTGTAGATGATTTTAAGTATTTCCCATCTATTGCCTGTTTAAGTGAGGCAAGGGGAAAGTTTCCCAGTAGTCTATGCTGTTAATGAGGACACATTCTATACGTACAGGTATTGCTTCCTCCAGCTTTCAAATTATGCAGATGAGCACCAGTGTTTAGAGACCATTTCTTTAAATGATATTCATATAGCAAGATGCTTATTACTCTATAAGGTACAAAGGAACTGGCCCTGCACAGACCCGCAGGTTTACCTGTCTTGAGGCCCCGGCTCACTGGGCAGGTTATGTCGCCCTGCCTGACTTTGGCAACCTAGAAGCATGTTGTGCACTGACCCACTTTGATTTTCCTTACTACCCACTTAAAGATGAGGTTCAAGAAAGTAGCAAGATAGAGCCTGCCCTGCTTTCATAGTGAGTACCCAAATGAGCTACAAAATCAGAACACGCAGCACCTTGGTGGTAACCAGCAAGAACACAAAACCCTTAAGCCATCCTATGAAATGTTAGTTGAGTGCTATGTCCATTCTTTAATCCCAGAAACCCGCAACCAGAATGGCTTACAGAGTATTATGATTTATTGGATCTTTTAAGGAAATACTGATCGGAAAACCCTGGATTGACATAGCTTGCAATTCATTAAAACAACACTGAGCATGTGCTGTGTGTCAGGCACTTTAGGCACTTGTGACACTTCAGTGAACAAAGATCTTTGCCTTCATTGCATTCTCACAGGGGTAAAACAGACAATTTGATACATTACAGAAAAAAAGCAGGGTAAAGAAAACCAGGATGGGCCCCAGCTTGGGTTTTCCTACGTGAGCGCCGGGTTTGGTTCGGCCTTCAGGAAAGCCTCAGTTCAGATTTGGCTACGAAATGTAGGAGTGTTTGGGCGTTTTCCACCGTAAGGGAAGTAGCAGTGGCTGCCACCGACCAGAGCACGGGTCTGTGGCCTTGGGGTTGATAGGCTCTGGGTGTCCCTCCTGCCTATTGACCAAATAAAGGTTCTCTTCAGTTTGAAGACACATGGGATTTCATGTGCCCAATTGTTTTGAAGCTTTTACGTCAGGAATCTGTTACATAACAGCAGTGGTTTGATCTGTTTTTGGACCTATATGCGTATGTCTCTGGGATGATAAAGGCTCAGCAGAAATCCATCAGGCTTTAAAAGAAGACATTCTTGAGTTTAGTAAGCAAGTATAAGCATGAGTACTGAGCCATCAAGATGATACAGCTTTGCTAAAAGCATATATTGTTGAATGGTGAAAATTCTTCTTTATACAATGTGATACTTTACCGAAACCTTCTTGTCAACTAGAGATTACTTTAATGGGCAGCAATAAAAGATCAAATGCAGAAGACAGTATTGTTCGAAAGCTTATGCTTGACACATAGAATGAGTCAATCTTTTTAAATACAAAGAACAGACTCTAAGATACTACAGTGAAACTGGTACATGCTGAAAGATTGGGAGAAGCTTTGATTCTCAGCTGGTCATTGGAGTATGTTAATGCTTGTTCTAATCCTAATGATAAGCTTCAAATTTATAGGGACAATTGTGAGAAGGCATACTTGGATTCAACAGAGTTTTTATAGAACTCAGGCCCTTGTATGTACAACAAAATGGTGTACAGAATTATATGAAATAAATGCTACCTTAGAAGAAAAGCGAGCACTATGTTATTTAGAAACAAGATGAGAATGTAACTCTGCTGAAGCACTCATGGAATGCTGTGTAAATGCCCTAGCGACATCATTGAAGGAAACTGTCTTAGCAAAATGCCAAGGCATCATCAAGCAAAATGAAACTGAAAAGTTACATTTAATGTTTTCATTTTACATTTAATGTTTTCATTGATGGACAAAGTTCCCAATGGGATAGAGCCAATGTTGAAAGACTTGGAGGAACACAACATTAGCGCTGGCCTGGCAGATATGGTAGAAGCTGCTGAAAATTATAACTGACTCTGAGAAATATGTAGAGCAGTTATTTACACTATATAATAGATTTAGTTAATTCATCAAAGAAGCTTTTCAAGATGATCCATGATTTCTTACAGCAAGAGATAAGGCATATAAAGCAGTTGTTAATGATGCCACCATATTTAAATTTGAATTACCTTTGAAGCAGAAGGGGGTAGGGCTGAAAATTCAGCCTCAATCAAAATGCCCTGAGCTGCTTGTCAATTACTGTGACATGTTGCTAAGAAAAACACTATTAAGCAAAAAACTAACCTCTGAAGAGATTAAAGCAAAGCTTAAAGAAGTGCTCTTGGTACTTAAATATGTACAGAACAAAGATGTTTTTATGAGGTATTACAAAGCTCATTTGACACGAAGTCTTATATTAGACATCTCTGCTAATAGTGAAATTGAAGAGAATATAGTAGAGTGGCTAAGAGAAGTTGGTATGCCTGCAGATTATGTAAATAAGCTTGCTAGAATGTTTCAGAACATAAAAGTATCTGAAGATTTGAACCAAGCTTTTAAGAAAATGCACAAAAATAATAAATTGGCTTTACCAGCTGATTCAGGTAATATAAAAATTCTGAACGCTGGTGCCTGGTCAGTAAGTTCTGAGAAACTTACTAAACTGAAGGACTTGGTATCTGAAATAGAAGAATTCTACCAAAAAACATAGCAGTAGAAAATTACATTGGCATCATCTCATGTATATCGAGTGTGGCAGTCCAAACCCAGCCCCCTCCAAATTGCAACAACAAAAAAGGTGCTGGGCATTGTGGCAAGTGCCTGTAGTCCCAGCTATTCAGGAGGCTGAGGCAAGAGAATCGCCTAAGCCCAGGTGTTAGAGGTTGCTGTGAGCTGTAACGCCACATCACTCTACCCAGGACAATAAAGTGAAACTCTGTCTCTATTAAAAAAAAAAAAAAAGAAGAATGAAATAGGTCAATACAATTTGGAGGTAACCATGTTTCAGCTGTCTGTGTTGTTTGCATGGAACCAAAGACCTAGAGAGAAAATCAGCTTTGAAAATCTCAAACTTGCAACTGAACTCTGATGCTGAGCTCAGAAGGACTTTATGGTCATTAGGGGCTTTCCCAAAGCTGAAATGGCAAGTTTTATTGTATGAACCTCAAGTCAACTGGCCCAAAGACTTCTCAAAAGGTCCCCTCTTCTCAGTGAACCAGGAGTTTTGCAGTTTAATAAAAAATGCAAAAGTTCAGAAAGGGGGTAAAATCAACTTGATTGGACACTTGCAGCTCACTAGAGAAAAGGATGAGAAAAGAGAATGAAGGGATAGTCCAACTAAGACTAAGAACCCAGGAAGCTATCAAACAATTAGTAATGCTCAGCTGCAGACTGAATTAGTAGAAATTTTGAAAAACATGTTCTCACCACAGAAGAAAAGGATAGAAGATAGAGTGGCTGATAGAGCACAAGTACATCAGGAGAGTGAGTCTGACATCAACACCTTCATTTAATATTAAGAACCCAAAATTTGGAGCGATTGGGCAAAGTTTTAACATTTTGTTCTGGAGAAAGGTTTATTTGGAATTTTGATTACATAACTAATCTCTGCCTTACAAAACAACTCTATTTTGCCAATCATGCTGTACACTCTTTAATAGCATGCTGCTTTGTGGAGAAACTTGCATTCATGAAGAGCCCTTTATGAACTTTTAAAAGTAAATTTGGTTTATACCCACTGGGAGAAATACAGTTGGGAAGGGTGAGGGCAGGGTTCTTGCTTTTTTTCTCTTTTTTCCTTTCTTAGAAAAATGTACTTACACAAGAAAGGATTTTCAGATATTCATGCACTGAAAAATGCTAATATTTTTGTTCTTAAAAAATGCAATTAAAACTAGAAATAGCAAAAGAAAACCAGAATGTCAGGCTGCAGTTTGTTAAACAAGAGTGGTCAGAGCAGTCCTCACTGAAATGACAGTTGAGCAAAAACTCCAAAGTGATGAGAGAACTATTAAGCTTTGTGGGAGAAGAGCATTCTAGGTAATAGTAACACACCTTGTAAGGCACAGATAGGTAAGGAACATTGGAGGATTAGTAAAGGCAGTGTGGATAAGGCAGAGTGAGCAAGAATTCAATAGGAATGGAGTGAGGTCATTAAAATACTGGGGCAGAGTATTTTAAGGTCACTTACTTTGAATAAGGTAGGAAGCTACCTCAGTAAGACTTCAGACCTTCCAAGCATCACTCTGGTTGCTAGAGGAGTAAAGACCAGTTGGGAGACCACTGAAATAATCTGGGCAGCTGTGATAAAATGTCTTAGACAAGAGTAGCAGTAGTGGAGATGGGGAGATTTTAGGTGGAACTAAGATTAAGTGAAGGAGATGAAGAGTCCAGTACTGGTGAAGAGGAAGGGAGCTGCCATGAAGTGATGACTGACTGGCAGGAAAAAATAAGGAGTTTGCTTTAGGGCATTTTGAGATTAGTATCCAAGTGGAAAGGTCACACAAGGAGGTGAATATAATCTAATAGGCTTAAAAGAGATTACCAAGGTATTTGAAGAGCTGGCAAGGAGCCCAAGGATGAGCCCTGTAATGTCTTCAAGGCAACTGTCAACTGGACAATGTGTGAAGAAAAACAGGCATCACCAACAGATGACCTAAGCAAGTGTCCAAACTTAACACTAATACTGGAAAATGTACACATTGTGTGATGCTATTCTATATGGAAACCACAGTAGCACCTTGCACGCTCCACAAGTTTTACCAGAAACTAGTAACTTAAGACTAGGAAGTTAAAAGGGATAGAAATTAATGACATTGCAAAAAGACAGTCAACAAGCCCGAGAATTCTAGCCAAGAATCTTTTTTTTTGAGACAGGAGCCTCAAGCTGTCCCCCTGGGTAGAGTGCTGTAGCATCTCAGCTCACAGCAACCTCCAACTCCTGGGCTCAAGCAAGTTCCCTGCCTCAGCCTCCCAAGTAGCTGGGACCACAGGCATCCACCACAACGCCCAGCCATTTTTTGGTTGCAGCCATCATTGTTGTTTGGTGGGCCCGGGCTGGATTCGAACCTGCCACCTTGGGTGTACGTGGCTAGCGCCTTAGCCACTTGAGCCACAGGTGCCAAGCCTCTAGCCAAGAATTTTCATTTAATCTTGCTCTGGGTATTGGCATGGAGAAAAGCTGTTTAAAAAAAAAAAAATAGATTGAGCTAAAAAGTAAAAATGAAACACTTAGGGGCACATGGGAAAATCTAAAGTTAAGGACTTTATGTTAATAGCCTGAGGTACTGAGGACATAAAAGAACATGTTTAAATATTGTCATGGCTATAGCTTTCTTTGAAAGGTTAAATGTATCAAGCAAATATGGCAAAATACTAATAACTTTCACTTAAGTGGGACTATTCTTTCAACTTTTCTGTTTGAATTTTTCCCTAATAAAATAAGTTGGGTGAAAAAAAGGAGAGGGTGATAAACTAGAGGAAGTTTAGAAAATCTTTGGGTTTTGCTATAATAAGGGGAGCTGTAAAATAGAGAGCTGGAGGGATTTAAGCTCAAAAGTTTTAGTAACATCTTTATTAATGCTTATGAGAATAATCTAGAGAAAGAAAATGGATCCAGATCAGAGGACTGGGAGAGCTGCCCTTGAATGAGACAGAGTTTGAATCTGAGGCAAGTACAGGAGTAGAAAGGAAAGACAATTAGGGTGCCTTAGCAAAACAGTCACTTGCTAACGCCAATTACTGTGTAATTTTGAAGTGAGAGAGAACCCACATGGAGCAGAGACAGTCCTTTCCACTCCAGCTGCTAAGAATCTTTGAAAGCTCTCCAGGTGATACTGCTGATGCACTGTCTGCTTTATATATTTTTTGGCCTATGTAAGAATTTGACATGACTCTAAAATAGCGCTGACATTTTAAGCCTTCAGTGTTTTTCTCAGATTGCCAATTTTTCCTTTACAAAGAATTCTACATAGCTATGCATGTTTTTTAGATCCACTGAACATGTAATACAAATAACCTAAGCACAGTATCCTCTCAGAATTGCCTTTTACTAAAAGATTAGGATTCATACCCGGCCCCAACCAAAAACTACAGAAAAAAAAAAAAGATTAGGATGACTGCTAACATTTAATTCTGTAGATATTTATTTAATTCTGTAGAAGTTTTTAATAAAACAATCTCAAGCATCTTTGGGAATTCAAAATCCCCAAGTAGCAAATAGTCTTTCTGTTGAAATCATGTGTGGTTGGTAATCAGCTACTGGGTCCAGGAAGTTGTACACATTAACTTCCTGGAATTATTTCTCATTATTTTAAGTAAGCTATGAGTTTTTGGTAAGATATGCAAAAATTTAGCTGTGGAAGAAAACTTACTATCGGATCAGTTAGGACTCTAGAATTAAAACCATTACTTGTAGCACCATTCAGGTTGCCAGAACCCATTTTCCTTTTAGCATTATTAAAAAACAGCTCTTTTATAAACTCTTTTATAAACTCAAAATTTATGTGAAAATTCACACGTGGTTATTTAACAAACGGTTCATTGTTCTGACCTTGCTAGGATTAAGAAAGAATGATATGCATACACATCTTGTTCCCATACCTCCACAGTTCTACTTAACTGCTTGCATTCTCCTAAAAACACTATTCCCCTTGCTTCTTAGCTGGGGGACTGTTCTGTCTCTGGGAACATCTGGCAATGTGTGGGGGACAAACTGTTTATCATAACTTGAGGGGGTGATTACTGGTATCTAACGGTGGGGCCAGACATGTGGTCAAGCACAGGAGCAGGCCCCACACCAAAGTGATCTGGTCTGAGTTGCCAGTAGTGCTGAGGCTCCTTATTTCAGAGTTATATTACCAAAGTTAAAAAGAAAAAAATCTTTTTCTTCTATTAATTAGGTCAATTATAAATGTGTATGACCTGGTACATTTAGGATTGACTTAATTAGTAGAATATGCTTATCAGAATTCAGCAAAACTTTTTTTTCCCTTCATTATAAGAAAGCTATGTTTGGAAACCATTTACAGAAAGTGAGTTAAATTTGCTGAATCATGATTGTTGCATATTAAGTCCTCAAAAAAACCAACTTGGATTGTCTGATAATCTTTGAGGTAAAAATTCTACAGCTATTAAAACCGATTCTGTATCATTCTACTGTGTAGTAACAAAAGCAGCAAATTAGAATCAGAGTGCTGTTTTTGAAAGCACTCAAATATGAGAAAGCTAACTTCAATGATTCCTGGCAAATGCTTACCATTAAAACCCTGGTTTCATTCACATACTACCCCCATCTGTACATTAAAAACCAGCAGAACAGAAGTAAATGTTTTATTCTTCCAATTAAATTCCAGTACTACAAGGGCGGTAAAACAATGATACACTGGAAAAATGCAGCAATAAACATTTGTTTAAAAGACTGATAGAATAAATAAACTACAAAAAAAAAAAAAAAAAAAAAGGAAAATCATATAAACCCATTCTGAAACCCCAAGAAGTCCTGGAATACAGAAATGCCCTCCTCCACTATTTCACGGGAAGCACTGCAGGCTATTTGCTTAATATTGTCCTGGGATTACATTCTAAAATTATTAACTGGTTACAGCTTGGTTGTAGTGCACAATTAAAATCACACTAACTTCATCTGAAGTGTCATTCTACAGTTTTATTTACACAACCAAAGAAGGGCATGTTCTAGAATACCAGTTTTAATCCCTTTCAAACATATTAATGAGAAGCCAAATTGTAATGATACAGCAAAACGAGGCCACTGGTATTAATACAGGTCCACATCCAGGTGGTACTGACATCAGGGAAATTTCCAAAACCAGTTGCTGCCGCCTAAAAGTGGTTGCCACTGACAAAAGCTTGAAGTAACCTGTTTTCACAGGGGGATACTGGCATTGCTGCATGTCATAATTGGGACCTCTTGCAACAATTCAACAAGGAACAGGCAGGTCACAAATGCAGAAAATGTGATTCATGAAACATCTAAAGGGAGAGAGAACAAAAAAATTAGTGCAAAGTAAAAGTCAAAATTCAAGCAAATACCAGGTCTTGATTCCCAATACTGCCCCTAGGTATTTAACCAAAAACTTTGCAAAGTTATGCTGCCTATTTCCTCTAGGTGTTTGCACCATAATTTTCTGTTCTTGAGTATGAAAATGCTTATGTCTTATTAGAAGATAGTCTTGTTCCCAGTTTTTAACTTCAAAGGTGAAATACTTACAACTAGCAGGCTGTTCTCCATATCGTCGCATTATTTGATCATGCGTAAACTTCACAAATGCATCATACTGTTCTGTAAAAAAAGGTGTATATCAATTACGTGATCTGCAAAATGCCCTCTGTAATATATTAGAGCCAGTCTCAAAATACAAAATGTATAGTGAAACAAGTCTAAGTTGACACTTCAGTGCATCAAATGGAACAAAAGCATGAAGCCACTAAACCAAGGTGTTATTTTGAATCACAGGAGCCCCCATACACAGGGTAGATGGGGTTTGTTTATTTACTAAGATTAAAAACAAAGAGCTTGCAATAAAAGATACCTTTCTACTCTGAAAGATTGTATGTGGTCTATAAATGGCAATTTACTGCAATAAGTAGACAGAACAAAACCTTATCAGATGTCACAGAACAGAAAAAAGGTCAGCAAATTCTCTTGCCCTACATTAACACCTAGATTTAACTCCTTTAGAATCAAAAAGCTTATAATATGTAGGTCACTAAAAAGTTTTGAGACAGACTGTGTTATGGTCTACTACTTTAATTCCAGTCAACGGCATCCTTTCTGATTCATAAGTACAAGTTTCAACTTGCTCAACTTTTGGGTGTTGCTGGGAGGGCTTCACTTGTTTCCATCCACACAGACCTTATGTTTCTTAATTTTTGAATATCTCAAAACTTTTGCAATGACTCACATACCTATGTACAGTAAAATCTATGGCTTAGAACATTCTGATTGCGTTGCAATACATAATCTTATTTACTGCACTTAAATTGTCAAATTTCACTGAATTTTTTGATAATTAAAACAAGACTGCAGTTTGATACAGTGCTAGCCAATTAGATTGATGGGAAAGTTATGAAGGATATAAAGTCCAAAATTCCACAACCAAACCACAAAGCTTAAGTCTGTTTTTAGCACAGGATACATACATCAAAAAAATTCTAATTCACTCATACTGGTGCTAACCTACATGGCTAGCTAATACTCCTCTGAAGGTAGTGAATACTCTTCCTGAGTTTGCTAATGTAGGCCACGAACTACAAGAAAATTTCTTTTCTTGAACTAAAATTCTCTGATTCTTAGAGAACACATACTGTACCAGTATATAGGAAGGGTAATTTAACTGACATAAAAAGTACATGTGGGAAATAATGTAGTTCTTAAAACGAGTTTCATGGAAACTCTAAAATAAACTCAAATACCTGCAAGTTTTGTGTTTAATATTTCTTCATATTCTTCTCGAACTTTCTCTTCACGTTCTTTCAACAAACGTTCACAGATCATCCCAACTTGCCGTAGAGTAAATAAGGGCTGTTCTTTTTTTAGTGGTGAGGATGTTGCAGATGAAGTCCCTGTGTATAACAAGAACAAAACACCACACCTAACTCAGAGTCATGATACAAAGTGGCTTCTAACCCAAGAGGTTTCATTCGGATATCTTCAATGTTGATGTGTTTTTAAATCAGTTTTAAATCCTTTACCTTAGGATTTGTCTAAGAAATCATAAAACGAGATTAAACTAAAAATTCTATCAGCTTGTGACTCTGGAAAAACAGCAGGATGTATCAAATATAAGGGGGAAAGTCTAAAGATGAGTGGGAAAAAAATCCAAGATACAACAAAACTTAAACATTACAAAAAAACTTACCTCTGTTCTAGAAAATAGTATACCATAAAGTGTTTTAGTGACTAAACTTTCCTACCATAGAAATAGAGAACATGCTTAAAGTTTACTTAGTCCCAGAGTATCAAATTAAATTATACCTGTAAAAAGACAAAGTTATGCTTAAAAGCCACACCACTACTAATAAATGTCCTAACCCACAACCAACTGGGGATTATTCCAACTTCTCACAATACCTGCCTACCACCACTTTCCAGTCTCCTTAGGCGTTTCCGTTTAAAAACAAAAAAACAAAAACAGGTTTCATGTTGGCACAATTAAAGCTTTATGTTAAAGAAATAAGGTGATGGCAGCAGTGGTGGCCATGCCCATCATGAACCCTTTTCAAAGATACTCTAGTGTTTGTCATTTTCATTAGGAATATTCCTTCAGTATTTTTTATACCTGCCAGGATTTTTTTTTAATAAAACATTTTGTGAACTTAAAAAATACATTTAGACATTTCACATAGGCCTACGTTAAGAAAAGCTTTATGGTTTAACAGGATGCAAAGGATCCTTTGTAAGCTGATTTCACGAGCAAAAAAATCAGGGAAGCTTACTGGTATTTATTTCTATGATCTCTTAAAGGGCCACCAAAAATTTTTTTTACCTGAATCTTGTACTTTTTTCTAATAAGGTTTTTGTTTTTTAATTAATATTAGTTAGGAGACCACTTTGTAAAAATAAATCCTTGACACTGTATACCTAATACTAAATATTTAAATTTTATGCTCCAGGGTCCTTACAGAACCACCTGGCATTATCAAATGATGAGATACTTCATGTAAAAGATTTAAGAAATGTGTTTTTCAAGTACCACATAAGGCACTATGATCTTCGAAAAACAATCATTTCCACGTATTAAGAAGAACATCTAAAGTTAATCTTTTTGAGATTGGAGGATTCTGATAGCCATCTATTAGGGCACTACTACCAGTATTTTATACACATCCAAGCACACATTCATTTGTAAAGTATACTAGCTTTAGTCCATAACTATAATGCTACCTTAACTTACTTTGAAATTCCCAGCTTTCTTAGTTAAGGCTGTCAGGTAATGGACATTTTAAATAAACTAATGAAAGGATAATGATCTTGGTCTCCTGATCTCCAACCCTCACCTTTCCTTACCATCTTTCAACCACTTATACCAAGTCCCCCAAATCTGCAGGATTTAGTATGGAATAATTTCAAACTTTCTAATCTTATTTGAGTGTTTTATGGCCTGTGTATTTTTGTACTCTCCAGGTTTTCCTATCCCTGCTGGGGAGAAAGAGACAGAAAGGCAAATGTTTTAACAAGAAAAACTATTTTACTGAAGACACTTTACGCAAGAACCAACTGGCTCAGAAATTTCAACTTTCCTTTCACTTCAAGTAGCCCTTATTTATTCTGCCTTTAAAAAAAAAAAAAAAAGAGGTTATTTGCACCAACTTTCTCCAGCAAAAGGTACAAGGGGTATTTCTATAAATACTCCAAGAGCAGAACTTTTGAGTCTAATTAATCAACAATGGACAGTTAAGTAATTATAGAAAATCTCTAAAATGGCAGTGTTCAGCCTTGGACACAGAACATCTATACCTAACAGAAAAGCTTATGGTATTCTGCTACACTTCTCCTTCCCAATAAATGGAGGCTACAAATCATAGTACTGGTACGTTGACACTTTTGGGATATTTTATACAAGTTGTTGTCTGTGGTTGGTGGGAATCCAGCTGGTGCTTCCTTACTTTGTACCATGTTTTTAAGATATTATACATTACTTTGTACAAATGTTCTATTAAAGAAGGGGAATGGTAGCTTAAGTGACTAGTGGCAATTTGGGTTATACTTTTCCCATTCCAAATGACATTTGTTTTCACTTAAATTTATTACCTGGAGAAGCTGGTCCACTGAGGAGAAAGGCATGTGGCTGTGCATCAGAAGCACAACATGGGTCTGTCTGTTGGAAACTAGTTTCTAAATGTCTTCTCTTCTGCATGCGTTTATACTCTTGTTTTATGTTGTACAGAATTTGTTCTAAAAGAAAAAAAAAGTTGACAAGATGAATTTTTTTTTGGTTGCAGCTGTCATTGTTTTGGTGGAACCGGGCTGGATTCGAACCTGACAGCTCAGGTTTATGTGGCTGGCACCTTAGCCGCTTGAGCCACAGGGGCTGAGCCAACAAGATGAAATTTAAAAACAATTTTTTTTTAAAGGTTTGCTTCCCAACCACTGCTACCCAAAATATTCTCTTTAATACAAAAACTGACATTCTGGGAAGAATTCATTTCAACATAAATGTGGCACTCACTCAGAAATAGCACATATATACCATTTGAGATTCAACTATTCAACAGTTACCATTCTCCTTGACCACTGACTAGCAAAATAATGGTCTGAGAGGCTGTGAACTGAAACACCTATTTTTATAGACTTTTAAGAGTCCCAAACTCATAGCTCATTTATGTATCATACATAGAACTATTTTTCCTTAGTCTCACTTTATTTCCCTTGGTAGAGTGCAGTGATGTTCACAGCTCACAGGAACCTCCAACTCCTGGGCTTATGCGTTTCTCTTGCCTCAGCCTCCCCAGTAGCTGGGACCACAGGCGCCCGCCACAATGCCTGGCTGTAGTTTGGCGGGGGCTGGGTTTCAACCCGCTACCCTCCATGTATATATATAGGGCCAGCGCCCTGCCCACTGAGCCACAGGCACCACCTCACACACAGAACTATTACACTAACAGGTTTTCCTCCTCATCAGAAGAGGGGAAGATGGCTCGGCGCCTATAGCTCAACTGGCTAAGGCGCCAGCCACGTACACCTAAGGTGGTGGGTTCGAATCCCCAGCCCGGACCCGCCAAACAACAATGACGGCTGCAACCAAAAAATAGCCGGGCGTTGTGGCGGGCGCCTGTGGTCCCAGCTACTTGGGAGGCGGAGGCAGGAGACTCGCTGGAGCCCAGGAGTTGGAGGTTGCTGTGAGCTGTAATGTCACGGCACTCTGCCCAGGGGGACAGCTTGAGGCTCTGTCTCAAAAAAAAAAGAGGGGAAGATTATGTACGTTAAAGTAGTACCAGTGAGAAGTGACAGGTCAACAAAAATAACAAAGTATATGGCTACTACAATTACCATCTTACATCAAATGGTCATGGCCATTACTAGTAAAAGACCATAAGAATATTACAATGTAACAGCATTCTGCATCTTGGTTGTAATGGACCCACATAAAGTAGTTAGTACCTAACAGGTCCTTGATTAGTTGGTTATCTTAAACCGTAACTGTAGGAACACAGGTAAAATTATAACCAGTCTATCCTTTTTGGCCAGTTATGATACATTTCATAGATAGAATCTAATTATCATTTAGCTTCTCCAGAAAATCCCTGCTTGGGGTGTCCACTTGCCTCCAGACTTTCTCACTAGCTATCAAATTGGCTATCAATGTGAAAATATCTCCCAAGGAGCTTATTAATCCCAATCCAAAGCAAGATTAAGCAAAAATGAGAACAATAATCATAAATATAGCAGTGTAGCTTTTTAACATTCAACTCAATAATGAGGCATAAATTTAAGAACTGAAAATTCAACTGAAGGCTGAAGATTTATGTAATAGTCTTTTATAAAATGTTAATAGTGATGGTTTTCTTAGGTATGTAATTGTCATTTGTCTTTTTTCTCACTCTATTTACTTAAGAGAAGCATTCTGAAGACTTGAAAGACTCTGAGGAAACACAAATCAGTCCCCTAAACATTTTAGGTACTGCTATTATCAGCATTTTAACTCGAAAAAATAAAGTTGCAAGATATATATATCCAGTCAAGATACCACTTATACGTTTTTGTGTAAAGGAAGCTGTTTACATACATGAATGTGTAGTGTAAGTACAAAATCACACAATGGAATGATTAATTTCAGGATGGTTGTGGGGTGCTTTCACTGTAACATTTTTCAGAATATTAACATTTGTTTCATGAGTTATTATTTTTAGTCTTTTCCATCTATTTGGAATGGTATGTACTTTAAAAATGGAAGTTATTGGTATGAGACAAAAAGGCTGTCCATCGCACAGTAACCAATATCTTGATATAAACGGGTTTCCTAATATTCACCAGAGATATTCAACAAAACTGGTACAACATCCCCTTATCAACCAGGACAAGCACTAATAATCCCCATCTTTTAATAATAGAACTTTTAGTTACAACATTCTAAAAGGTTTTAAAGGCAGTGATGTATTTCATTGATAGCAAGGTTTACTCATTTATTACTCTCCTTTCAAAGCTACCACTATCCTGATCAGAAGGGTCATACAAACCATCATGAAGTTTATCCATTACCATAGACTTTAGTATGTACTAGTGCAGGTAACTTGACCTTTAATAGCTACTGCTGTGCGTACATATATTCTTTAATCACCACATAGCTGTCCTCAGACTACTTTCGTATCCCTCTTGCTTCACCCTGCCCCCAAATCAACCAAAGCACAACTAAAATGTAAAAAAAGAATGCTTGTGACAAACAATTTGTTCATGTGATAGTCTCAACTGGGATCTAACCCAGGATTAAGATAATAGTAAATATGTTTTAAAATTTTGCTTTGTAAAATTCCATACTATCTGATAGAGACATCTCTAACAAGATGAAGAATTTTAAGGGATAATATATATAAACAATAAAAAATACACCAACTTAAATGTTCTGACAAATGTATACAGTCTTGGAACCACCATAAGTCATGAAATTATAAGACTTATCACCACTTCTACAAGTTCTCTGTTCCTTTGCAGTTAATTCAGTACTGCTGCCACACTCCTTCCAATTTGCAAATGCTGCTGCTACTGTATGATTTTGCTCTGAAGAATTTCATATAATGGAATTGTAAAGAATATAAACTTTTGTGGTCAGATGCAAGGGCTCACACCTATAATTCTAACACTTTGGAAGGCTGACGTGGGAGGATCACTTGAGGCCAGGAGTTCGAGACCTCGTCTCATATAAGACACCATTTCTACTAAAAAAAAAAAAAAATTAGGCAGGCGTGGTGGCAGGCACTTGTAGTCCCAGCTAGTTGGGAGCCTCAGGCAAGAGGATCACTTGATCCCAGAGTTAGAGGCTGCAGTGAGCTACGATGTGCCCCAGCCTAGGCAACAGAGCAAGATTCAGTCCCCACAAAGGGAATTTTTTTTTTTTTATATAGAGGAGCTTTATTTTATTTTATTTTTGCTTTTAGCCAGGGCCGGGTTTAAACCCACCACCTCTGGTATATGGGGCTGGCACCCTACTCCTTGAGCCACAGGCACCGCCCAAAAAAGGGAAAAAATTATATATACACACAATGTCTGAACTTCTTCCACTCAGCAAAATGCTTCCGAGAGTCAGATACATTGCGAGAATCAAAAATTCTTTCCTTTTTATTGATGAGTAGTATTCCAGCATGGGTATGTGTTCATTTATCCATTCTTCTGTTAATGGACATTTGGACTATTTCTAATTTGAATCTATTATGAATATTCAAGTACAATTCTGTAGGTGGACATACTTTAATTTCTCTTGGGTAAATACCTAGGAGTGGAATTGGACTGACTAATCACAGGGCAAGTGAATGGTTTTACTTTGTAACAACTGCCAAACCAGAATAATTTTACCATTTTGCATTTGCACCAGTAACATCTTAAGAGTTGTAGCTGCTCCACCTCCCTGATATCATCAGTTAAAGAGCTGAAGAATTTTGAATCTTAGTGCTTGCGTTGCTTTTTTACATCTAATATGATGCGACTATGTCATCTAAGCCACACCATACCATCAAATCCTCTAATACTGGTAACATGTGATCAACAATGTAATGCAGTGAATGGTCCAATTTAAATTGGCGAAGATCTCTACAGCACATGTGGCAAACAGCTAACTGTAAGCCTCCAGCTCAGTTTATTTCAGTTCAGGGTATAAACAGTTCTGAAGGGGATTGTAATTCAATCAATATTCCACAACTCAACAGACTATTAGCTAAGCCCAATCTAGATATTTGGCTGACTTAAATTGCTTCCATACATCAGTAAGTAGTCTAATTAGTTTTAAGCTACTTAGAGATCTAACCACCTCTTATCAAATTAGCAAGTGATATTTTATCCCAGGTACATACATGTAGTATCTGGCATTGTATTATTAACACAATTTATAGTCCCTTAAAGAAGCAAAGCTTCTCTTCGCTTGCCTTATCAGATGCATGCTCCCGTTTCAATCACATAAATTCATATTTGGCTTATGAGGCATGGACTGAATATGTAGCAATCATTTACAACAGTGGTTCTCAACCTTCCTAATGCTGCAATGTATTTTCATTGTTACAATGGGGTCATGACCCAAAGGTTGAGAACCACTGGTTTAGAACAAAATACAGAACCTCCATAGCAGCTGACCAGTCCCTACACTGACCACCTCTTTAAATTGACCTAATTTTCATAGACCAGATATGCACCACGTGTATCTATCAGTACAATAGGCCTACTTCCTTATGTTGACCACTTTGTTACAGCCCCTTACGCGGTCAACTTAACAGAGGCTCTACTGTGTATGGTTATTTTTGTTTTTTAAAAATTTTTTACTTTTTTTTTCTTTTCCCCTCTCTTTTTGTATATGGTTACAAGCTATACCACAAATGGCTGTATATCCTCTTTTTAAATCCCAAAAGCTACATTCTTTTACCATAAAATACCACGTAAGTGAAAATAAGTATTAGCAAGTTCTATGACTCATGGCATTTTCATTCCCAAATCTAGTAAATGCCATTAAGATTGCTAATAAGATTATCCTTAAAGGATAGATAAATCAATGAGCCAGCACTTAACTCCTTTGAAATACTTTTAGAAAACAAAGTTTATAAATGTGAAAAGATCTTTTTTGTTACTTATGATTACTTGAATCCTAAACATAGTTAGGTCAACAATATAAACAGAAGAAAGCAGTTATAGGATAAAAAAAATAACTGAACTGATAAGGGTAGAAGAAACAGCATGAAGATGGGAAGGAATGCAAA